ATACAACTCAAAACGTATTGCCTTTGTCGAAGGTATTATTTGTGGGTTATTACCTATCAGGAACTGCAGAGTTCTTTTATTCGCTGAGATATACGATCCCGATCGATTTCTATTAGAAACTGCTTTGCGCTCCCGTTCGCGATCCAGGGGAGCTTCGCTCCCCCTCGCGAACCGACCAATAACGTGCGACCACGAGACCGCGGGGAGGGGAGACGATTACGGAAAAACCCAATTTCGAGTTTGGGAATTTTCCATTCGCGTCCCCTCCTAATATTACCATATTTGGGCACGCGGATCGCGGAATGTTCGAGATCGAGCAGGCACGATCAATCCCGTAACTATGGCAACGCAAACTAAGTTTATATATATATTACACTCCAGCGAAACTTTCCGTTCTTTCTGTGTATAATTTTGATTAAGTGAAGATCACGCGTTTCGATTTTATAAATGCAAATATTCTTAACAGTATCACGTATCAGTAAATGTCACACCAAAACGGTAATTCACAACCTTTATTTCCTATACAATTTCAAACAAATGAATACTTGCTTCGAGAAACAACCGCTGCCGCGATGCGTTTATGGAACAGTTAATCATAGGAATTAAACGAGTGTGCCGATAGTTGCTAATAGGAAACAATTGCGTTTACTCTTCGTTTTGTTTCAGTTACGCTTCGAAGGATAATAACGGAGCAGTTGTTTTCTCGCCGCTACCTGTTGACAATTGTTGGAAGGAAATAATCGTTACTAATACTTGTCTCTCTTAGTGGAACTTGTCACGATCGCGTCTCGAGAAGTAATAAGTAAGTAATAATGGGATGATACACGGAACGACTCACCCTTGCTCAGCTACGCTGTACGAATGACGCGGCGACTTTGTACACAACAAAAGCCGCGCAGTACCTACCTCGGCTTGTTTACAAATGCGAGCGCCGAACTTCGAGCATTCACAAACAATTCCGCTCTACGAAACACTCGATCTACGTAAAAGACGCAGAACGCTACGTAAGTCACAGGTCGCAAGCTTATTACCAACTTCATATTTAAAATTGACGCGGATTGGCTGACGTAACAAACTCTCGAGTCTGCGACTCGCGTTCTGCGTTTTACATAGGGCTCATTCTATATATAGAAGTTATAAACGGGTCGTAAGGTCTCAAATAGGAAATTGACCGATCCTAATCGAGTATTCTCCTTATATTTTACTGTAATTGTTGGTAGTTTCATACGACTTAAGACTCCACGACTGTCTACGACTTCTGTGTAGATGAGCTTTAAGAATATTAAAATAAACGCCACAATTAGTACTTTGAACCAGTTAGATGAAGAATATTATCGTTTAGCACTTTGTTCTTTCATCATCGTCACTTAAAATAAATTTAATTTCTCTCGAATGAAAATTTTGAGGTATTTAGAAATTTAATAGAAGTATCATTGCTCAAATCGCAATAAATATGCTACGATTTGTGAAACATACAATATATGTTGTAGTTTAATTACATCGTTAAATTATTAAAAAATAAATTTTTGTTTTAATCAAAATGATATATATATTAGGTGTTGGAATTAATTCGTAGCGTTTTACAAGTGATGGGACATGATTCATTAAAATCATTTCTTTTAGAAAAAAAATATATATAAAATAGTTGAATTAGAAAATTCAAATTAAATCATCACAAAATATGGCGATGTAATTTCACACATTTCTTTTTCTTGGCTTATTAAAGTCAAACAATCACTAATTTCGAAATGTAAAATACAGAAAAAAAGATAAAAAATTAATTTTAATAAAGCAAAGATTTATAAAAGGAGATAAAATTCATTGCTCAATGAAAAATTAGATTTCACATTATGTTTTATGTTGCTAACGCTACTGAGTTTGAAAAGATTAATTTCTCAAGTAAAAAAAAAAAACGCTTATCACTTAATCAACATGCGATACAAAAAAATTATTGTCCGTCATTATGTAAACTACAAAAGTGGATAAGTATATAGGTAATTTCTAGTTTTTAACTCTGTAAATCTCAAGGTTTCTCAAGCAATTACGTTCCGTTTCACGAATTTGAAATTACTATTTAAATTATTAGAACTATTTAAAAGCAATTTCTTCTCGAACTTCATACAAAACACACATTGAAGGATACTTAATTGTTCCCGAAAATAATATTCGGTTAATAAATTCAGAAGCTATATATAAATATTTTATTATTATTAAAAATCGTAAAAAATAAAATTTTATTCTAAAAAACAAGTATGTATATGTGTGTTTTGTATGTATAGTTTCTTACTTTACTTTCAAGTAAGGAACCAGACAGATGAAAACTAATCAGCGTGCCCAAGATTTAAAATGTATCTATAAAACTGAACACGCCAGTGCCCCAAGTCTAACTTTTAACGAGTTCAGTAACATTAAAAAAAAAGTCCTAAATTTTATTAAATATTTGTTTGAACTTGTAGTAAAAAATATTTATTTAAAATACAAAATTATACTTAATTTAAATAAATATGTATATTTTTACATTATTTAGTGAATTTTCGTTAGTATTATTCAAATAAATATTTAATAAAATTCAGTAAATTTTTTTTCAGTGTACATATACATATGCACACTGCATATATTTTTTATCATGTATGACAAATAAATACCAACACTGTCATTAGCTGTGTTCAGCAGAAGAAGTGGCTTTGCATCTGTTGGAAAATTTCTTTTAATATGATTAATTTATATATTTAGATTCATTGAAAGAGAGAGAGAGAGAGAGAGAGAGAGAGAGAGAGAGAGAAACTATAAGGACAAGATCATATTAAAGAGTCTTATAATAGTTGCAAAGTTGCTTTCTCTGCTCAAGGTAATCAAGAGTTATAGAGTCAAGATATAGAAAACGATTAGATTTCAAGATATTACTGAAACGTCTTTCGAACACATGTAATCATCCTAAGATCAAAGTAGAATCGTAGTCTCATCAACGAATGACATCCTTCATCAGTTAAATAACACGTGAACTATGGATCGCGCGAAACAGAGTGTAAAATGTGATTTTCTGAAAAATGACTCCGACATCAGATAGGATTCTTTCAGTTAGTTGAGCAGCATTGTTCCCTGAGAACGAGCCGAAGTCGGTAACTAAACGGCGAAGAGGCTAAATGGGACCTGACAGGCAACTGTCGCGGAACAGAGCGGAACCGCAAGAGGGTTAACCCGTCTCGTTTCGCACTGGAACGGTTTCCTCAGCGAGAATGACCCCGTCGAGAGAGAAACGAGAGAGAGAGAGAGAGAGAGAGAGAGAGAGAGAGAGACAGATAAAGGGGGAACTGGCCTCAGAGGCGAAAACATGTGCGGTGAACCCGGCCGAAGCTTCCGCCGCACCGCGCCGCCTCGCCTCTGCCACCGTCCTCACGCACGGTATATTCGTCTCGGGCGAAAATTGCGGCAGTACCCATGGTATTCAGAAACTGTTACCAATAGCAATATTCGTTGCCGCGTTGGTGAAATTCGTTGCTGAGTCAGCCGTAAAATGGACCCGAGGCGGATGGGCGGCAGTGTGGCAATGGCAGTGTGCCCGCGAGAGAACGACGTGAGCGCAATTTCACCAAAATTCCTCGGAATTACACGCGTGTGTTTCTGCCCCCTTTTTTTTTCTTTCCGCGAACGCGCGCGCGAAAGATATGAGCGTGCAATTTTGCGAGCGGCACGAGCACGCTACTCGCGAGCTCGCGCAAACAATGCGAAAAAGAACCGACGTGACGGCGACGTGACGGCGACGCGATAGCGAGGAACACCGAGAGTACATTTTGCCAATTCGATTCGCAACACGCGCGTATGTTTTGTTTTCTCCGTTTGCATATTATGGATTCTCTGCATCGGTTATCAATATTTTAAAGGCGAGCGCGAATCTATATTGTTGTACCTTTACAGGTGTATGTTAAAGGTATCCTGTGCGGAAAATTTCTAATTTATATTTGTTAATTAATATAATTAATAAATTATCATGATAAATATAAATCGTAATTGTATCCACTATTGACAGCGTGATTACATTTACAATTTGTTGCAAGTAGAATTCCGTCCCGAATCATAAGTCTAAAATCGTCAAACGACGATGAAACCGGTACGTGACATGAAAACTAAATGCGAGCGCAGGATTATTAAAGATATTCGAGTATCTAGGTAGCATTTAACTGATCCATTTGAACTCGAAAACCTTCTGAAGCTCTTTATGAATTAATGTATAAGTGTAATCCGATCGAAATTAATTTAAAAAGAATTAAAAAATATATTCAAATTTATATATTTATATTGTTATCTTTAACAAAAGTATATATAATATTTAATTTGCACAAAAATCAAAATTTAATTTATTATTATCTAAGGTATTCCAAGGTATTCTTTTTCCAGTTTTTTAATCAAATTAGAAAATAAAAAAAAGATGAGAAAAAGAATACCTTTTGGATCTAAAAATCTGCAGATAAAATAATATATACTTTTGGAATTTAAAATGAAATAAGTATATTTTGATATTGTATTTAACGAAAGCGAGAAAGAGAATTCTAGTGTAGTCTAAGATAGGAATAAAAAACAGATTTTAAAAAAAGCTTACAATTGGTGACATAAAAGTGAAATCTGGAACTCTCAGGAATGAGTTTTATAGATACTTTACTTTTAAAACAGAAATGAGACAAAGCAGAAATTCATTTGTCGGGAATCAAAAAAGAATTCTTTTCAAACTTTCTGTGCTATCTAGGTAAGCTCATTAATCGAGCAAGCACAAATCATTGTGGATATGTTTCTCCTCGCGTCTTTTCTCTAGCACCTTATACATTATGTACTTGTACGATCCTTACAAATGTTACGAAGCTTTGATTTACCAATCAGAAATAAGAATTTTACTAATTGACCAATCAAAAAATGCTTCATAGCATTAGTAGCGTTGTCACGTCGACCGTATCTGCAGTCACGCTCGGCAGTCAGTCAAAAATGGCGATCGAGTCGCTGCGATTCGTGATGATCTGGCCTCGAAATTCTCGGAAACCGACAATTACTAAAACAGTAAACGCAGACAAAGGTCCGTGGTCGTGCGCACGAATTCTCGTCGCGAGTGTCTCTCCGCGAAATTATCCGTCGTCTTTTCCAATCTGGTCTTTTCGATGAACTACGTCGAGCTCGCTGCTCGCGTACTTACTCGTCAAGTCGACACGCAAAAGAGAAAGAGATCCACGGATCAATGATGACGCATTCGTATCTCCTTGCCTTGCGTCCATCGGCGAACCTAACCTCTCCGCGGATGAGAAAGCGTTGATTGCGGTTGGGCAAATTGTCGATATGCGGCGGTTCTTTCTACGCTTGGGACGCATCCAGGTTCGCATGTCTTTTTTTTTTAAATCTGGTGAGGTCGAGGTGAGAAACGTGCCCGTGCTAGCGATCGGGCCTTGTTGAACCAGGTGGGTCTGGATCCTTTCTTGGGTGCGCGGGTGGATAATTGCGCGAAGACCGCTGTGACTATCACGAATTCCTTTGTTCGTTTTTATGCATCAAACGGGGAGGGACTCACGCGCCATCGGCGTCTTATCGCAGTTTCTCGTGTCTGGCCAGCGTTTATCTGCTAGCTCTTTGTTTTTTTTTACTCGCCATATTTGAGCATATAAATGACGCTTAAGGAGCTATTCGCTGCAAAATAAAATCAGTAAAACCTTACGCCTGTTTATCTACGTCGCGACCACCGAGGAATTATTACTCGCGATTATAATTAGTTCAGTATTCTCCTAGGTCTCTTCGAGAGTCGTATCCATCTACTCTTATCCGTATTTATTTGTTCGTATTTTTCCGTTTCGTACTTTTTGTTACATTTTTGCATTCGGATGTAACGTCCTTAATTAAGAATACACAGAAAGAAACGCGAGAGAGAGAGAGAACGATGCGTCACAGTCGAGCGCATAAGAGACGCATTCATTAGCCATTGTCATTTCCCCTTTAAGTAGCGTCTGTCGATTAACATGCCGTTTTAAGAATGGATCCCTCCCTTCTTTTCCCGACTTCGTGCTTCGATCCGACGACGCTCGTTCGTCCCGAGAATGACTCGACTCGAGTTGCTCGAGTGCCCGCTGCGAGGCAAATCCGATCGGCGGGATAGAGCACACTCGTGGTTCCCTTTCTATACGAGCACGTCTACCGATAATGCCACCGATTGTACGTTTCGCTCTAGGAGCAGTCCGGCCCGGCCGTGTAATAAAGTCGGCCGTAATCGCGGACTAATGGCCGCTCGACGACGTTGATTGTCCCGATTGTATGGACCACGGCGACGTCGCACCTCGCCGCGTTGCAGTTCCGCGTTATTAAATTCGGTGTCGTGCCAGCACTACGTCGAGCCGCCGTATATCAGCAGCCACGTGTACCAGAACACGCGCGTATATACAGAGTGTCCCAGAATCCGACGGCTTTAATTTCCGTCGTTAATAAAGCGGACTCTCTCGGAGCCGATCGAAATATCTCCGAAAGAGATATCGTCAGATATGCGAGATCGATAAGAGGACGCGTTTCGCGCGCGTCGCGGAATGAATATTAATATGAAACACGATTAAGACGACAGAACCTCCGACCATTAATTTTAATGGCAAATTCATTACACCAAATGCATTTTTTCCGTGACTAAAATGTCGATCGAGAAAAGGCTCTCTCTTCATGAGATGAAATCTCTGTCGTGTAATCAAGTCTCATTGTTCGTTTTTGAAAGAAGTAAATTCGCGTTTATTTTATCCGAAAATTCAAGATGTTGGGGATGCTGGAATGGTCGCATACTTGATCAAAGTATATAAAATAGACTAGTAATTCCAAAGTAAAAAATTAATTATTATTTATATTTTTTGCTTCTATATTACATGAATGCTAGGTTATGTACACTTATTTTCTCTTACTTTTTTATTTACTTCTCTTGTAAGCTTTAAAATCATAATTTGAAGATCCCATTATATTCTTATACATTATTCAAATGTGGGGAAACGACTTTTTGTTTGAATACATACTTGGAATTACTTATATCATGTGAAGAAATAACCTCTGTGATAACAGGAAACTGTTATTTACAGTATTTTTTGTTTTTTCATACAGATTTGTTGTTTCCTACAGCTATTTGTATTTTTTTTCCGGAGAAGGATTTTTTATTCAGTACAAGGAAGACGAAGAAAATGGAAAAGCACGAAATGCGCGTTTCGTCGGTATTACAAACGACGCCAGCATTTCCTTAAGAATGTTTTAATAATTCCAGACGTAATTCCAGATTGTTAATACATGTTAATGAATAGATAACGATGCTTCTCGAATCTTTTCTACAGAAGGATCATTCCCAAAGTTCCAAGAACTCGTTATAAGAATTATGCCCGCTTCCACCAATGTTGATTAATATTAATCTCGATTCTCTCTCTCTCTCTCTCTCTCTCTCTCTCTCTCTCTCAACTTCTTTTATTTCTTCAAATTAGAAAAAGATGAGAAGTCAGTTGAAACCGAGATTAAAATTAATCTACACTCTGACTAAATGGACATTAAACATGCGAATTGTGGAACACCCTGTATGCGGAGAGCCGTATCGTGGTACGCGGACGTTTGGCATAAATTTTCACCTCAACGAATTTCGCGAATTTATAGTCGCTCTCGTGACAATGTATCGCGAATTCCTCCACGCGCGTGACGCAATTTTTTTTCGTAACTGCTACAATTACGTAGACTGCGGTGGTGGGCCCCCGTCGCACTATTACATGACTACCGTTAATTAGCGTTACAGTACGCCACTTGATATTATGTAAAATAATGGAAATGAGTAAATACGCGCGCTGATTAAATTACAAGCGATTGTCGCGTAACTGAGTTAACCTTAATTGCGGAATCAACGGCTATTTAACGAGATTTCGTCTCGTCGAGTTGCGGTGATGCGACGACATTGCGAAAGTAATAAACGATGATGATTCACAAGGTTGAATTTCACGTCGCGCATTTCCCCTCTTAATATCATTGTATCTATCCTGTTGACAACTAACCAGCAGTTGACTAATTAACTCGTGTTAATAACTAGCAATCGCGGAAAGCAGATTATTGCTTAACGAAGTTAATAATTAGTTGCAATCCCTCGTCCCGTGACAAGTGGTGTTTAATTAGTTAGATACGAAGCTCATGTCTCAGAGCGTAAATATTTTCATCGCTGCCCCCTCATTAGTAATAATCGCAATTTGTTCATCGAATCGAATCGTCAATCGACGATGAATCGACGATGAATTTCTCGGCAGCATTTGTTTTTCTCGCGCTCTTTGGTGTAAATTCGAATCAGCAAGCATGGACGCCTTTGTTCAAAAAGAATTTTATGCAGTGCCTGTACCGTTTGACAATTAACAGGAAGAGAAGAGCCGTTACGAATCGATATTCGAACAACCCACGAGGCAACAGATGACGATGAAATTATGGGCGTGCGTTGGTGAATGTTCAAAGAATGGACTGTCGCAAGGATCTTGAAAGGTTCGTTCGGTCGTTTCCTGAGACGGTGATGACGTCCATGAGTCGATGCATCGGAACGCAGTTGGCCACGACGCATTGCAGCACGTGCTATATCGAATGCTTGCACGGAACATCGGACTCGGTAAGTAATTTTCTCGTGATTGTTAACTTTTCAACCGATCATGAAAAAGATTTTGCCGTACACAAGGTCTATTTTTTTATTGCTGCATTAGACTGCATTAGAACTCTTTTTCGCTTTCGCTAAATATCAAATATATCTATATATTTCATTTTAAAAGTCATGGCACACAGAAAAATGCAGTATAAGACGTAAGCAGTAAGAAAATCATGTTGGATTTCCTACTGTTTACGTTATGGCCTTGCGGGCTCCACTGTGATTGGGCATTTCGCTTGCTACATACATTTTACTGCCTCACGTTTTTGTACGTGCCATTGGCTTCAATTCCCAAAATGTACACTAGTTCAACTGTAGAAAATAGACTTATAAACTCGATCTTTTAAAATGAAAATTTAAAACGGTTTGAAAACAAACTGTTCTTAAGCGTCAGAAATACTAGCTCAGAATATATTTGCCGACATTTCGGGCGCTTTAAATTTAGTTCAAGAAAAATGGAACTAATTATATCTTTCTTTAAAAAAACCTGTTGATATTCGATATCATGTATTATTATATCTGTTGAAAGAATTAAGATAAGCTAGGCAAGAAATAGAATATTCTGAAAATAAAAGCTCCATTGTTAAGTTTATTTGCAACTTTAGCATAAATTCTAATAAATGCTTTTAAGTTTCAAATATCAACAATTTTTTTGATAAAAAATAATTCGATTTATAGCTTTACATTTATGTCTATATTTAAATTAACTGATTTATCACTTGTCTTTGTTTCATTCCTAAAAGGCACGTAGAAAAACATAAGCAAATCAACATTTTTAATTTGTTATATTATCGCTGCATGTTTCTACTGTAATTGGCCAATTCGCTCAAGTCTTTTATTGCTATGATTAGATAATGCAATATTAAAGTTATTGTTTATGGCACACAAAAAACTTACGGTCAATTCTAAAATATTGATATTGATATGAGATAATTCTAAGCAGAATCGTAACTTGTCTTCGTAAGTCCTTGTAAAAACTTTAACTTACAATTTCAGTCGTAAGTTCTTACGAGTCTTACGAGAACAATTTAGACAAACCTTACAATTCTGCTTAGAACTATCTCATATCAATATCAATATTTATGTATGCCATGACGGTGGCCTTTCACAGTTCAATGCATTATCTAATCATTCGGAAACATTACGAGTTCGAAATGTCAAGAGATTATGAGCAAACGTGGGACGGGAATCGCGTAAGAATCACGACAAAAGAAAAAACATTGATATGATAAAGAACGTAACCGCATTTTGACGTGTCCCTCGCAGTGTTTTTGCATATAATCACGAAAAGAAATTCCTCTCGCACGGGCTAAAAAAAAATTTGCGTGTCAATCGCTTATGTAAAAATATTTAATCGATCGTGAAGCTCTTCTCTCTTATGCGACGCATCCAATTGGAACGTGTAACACGTTATACGTAATGTGCGAATCGGAATGCGATCGTTCGCAATTCGACAAAGGGCGAGGGTCAACTTGACTCTCCCCAGTAGTTTCATCGCCGGTATACACTGGGCGACTCCACTACGAAATAAAGCTACAATGCGCAGGGATCGATATGTTTACACGACCGGGGTTACGTAAACGCAAGGAGAAGTTCGTTGACTCCGCTCGCTCATCGTTCGAGTCCGCGTTCGAGTTCGCTCGAAAGCCTCGATTCACGAGCCTACATCTATCTGCTCTTTGTGAATCGTCTTATTCGCTCATCTAAGTTTTGCGCGTATTGAAATCGGCTCAATAATTTCAGTGAGTTCAATCACCTACAGATACAGAAAAGACGCTGGTCGTCGGTGTCTCCTTTGTCGCGAAAAAGTGAAGTTTCGATCTTGATAGCGTTCGAGATCTAATTTCATCGAAATCGCATCGGTTTCAATTCCTGAGAAATAATAGGGATTAGAACGGGCGTTTGAAGTAAAACGTTTCATATTACCGTTACGTATTGTCGATTGATAGCTAGGTGAAAATAGAGAATCGCGAATCTACTGCATGAGGATGAAATTTTGGGAACATTATGTAGCAATGAATTTGATTCTTTATGTATAATTCAGACATTGCACAGAAAGGACAGTTTAGTCGTTGAAGTATTTAAAAATTTAATTAAATGGACATCTAAAAATTATTTTGTTGGACCATTAAAATAATTATGTAGGGCACTCAAACTGATTGCTGCAAAGCCAACAATTTTTTTTGCAGCACTACTTTATGTGATTTGATCTTTCTACGTAATTATTTTGATAGTCCAACAAAATTATTTTCAGATCTTTATCTAAATTTTTAAATTCTTCCGGAAATCTATCCTTTCTGTGTGTGATTAATCAAGTTGCTAATTATTTCACGAATATTTACATAATGTTGAAACTGTTGGAAGATGATTACATTAGGCAACGTTGCTGTCATCAAAATAAAAAGAGATTTTTTAATTGTTGAACTGTTTCTCGTTTACGCTGCACCACAGAAGGTTAAAGTCGATTCGCGTGCAAATTCGTTACATCGATAATCGAATGACGGTGCGGGCCACTGGAAAATTACGACAATTACAGAAATTACGGGAATTAAATGAACCATTTATTTCGAAAATGGCAGAAGGCGTACGTTAAATTACAATGGAATTAAATAATCTACAAATTAGTGAAACATAGACTGAGATGATACATTACAGAATGATTGTCGAAAATGATGCATTGTATAAAGTTACTAACACAAAATACTACAAATATGCTGTTTTAATATGTGGAATGTAGAAATGTTAGAGAATTGAAATAAGAAAGATAAGAGATAAAATAGTTATTATATAAGGTATTTTAGATAAGAGAAAAATAGGAGATAAAGACTGTTTATCTTTACATACATTTTATCTCGAATGTTTTTCGTAGATTGTGTCCTCAAAAATGCCTTAATGAGATGAGATTTCAACAATCCATATTCAATCCAATCTCTTGCGTTACTTTCAAGACAATTTAAAATAAAAATATAAAGATTCGGCACTTTTCATTTTCATTACATTTCTTCGGTTCCACCGCACTTGGTCGATTCGCTTTAATTTTGTAGATCCAAGAAGATCAACGTCGCGTTTATTACAAAGATTGAAATAAGCCCGTCAAGCCCGATGTTAGTCGTATCGCCGATATGCGGTGTGCCCGCGGAATCTCCGCGGAAAGAAGATATATTCAAATGTATGCAGGCTTTGTGCGCGGAGTTCCAAGATGCAAATATTTATACTAGAGTGAATTTACAATCCGACGGCGTTAATTATGCTTTCTCGCAGTTCCCGCTCGGAATTGAATACCGGTAGCAAAATGACAAGTATATACCTCGTCTCGCCTAACAATGATTCGAGATAGCTTTTTACGAGGTAGGTTGGTAAGAAATGCTATTTCGCTATTTGTATTCTGTAACATTTGCGGCTTCTTTTAGCGCTTGTTATATTACATTGTTACCTGACGATCGTAACGATTGCGACGATATTCGGGGTAGTTCCGTGCCATGAAAATATCAAGAGACGGTTTACGATCCGCGGTACTCGGAATACCAAGAATCGACGCTCTCGTGAGCGCGAGCAATATTGGCCTTTCGCTTATTCTCCGTCTGCAATCAGCCGCCGATCGAACGCGTTGGCTCATAAGTCAATTAGGCCGTATTCTTGCCAAGGACCGAGAATTACTTTGAATATTGCCTCGCAATTAACCGTGGCCGACCATTGAGGAGTAATAGCGCGGGCACGCCGGCAGTTACGACTTCCACTGACATGAGGCGGATATTGCGGTGTCCCTTCATTCATTGCATTCTGTCGTCAAGATATACGCAACACGGAGCCGTGCTTAAGCGCGCATTACATTCGGCCATTCGGCATTGTACTGATGTTTCATGTAAGCCGCGGTATATCGAATCGCCACTGCGGCGATTCGTTCCGATCGAAGATCGTATCGAAACGTTTCGGCCCTTCGATCGATAAGAATAACATTCACTTTTTCGTATGAGAAAATAAGCTTCTCTGCGATGAACGAATAAAACGTTGAATGTTGTTGGAAACGGAAATGACTTTCACGATCTCGCCGCGATAAAATTTATACGGAATAACGTCGAAAGACTGAGCTTATCAGCATGATTTCATTTTATTATTCCAACCATTCACACATGACGAAAATGTCATCAGCATACTTATAATATAATAAATGGTGCATATTTGGTGCATATTTGGTTGTATATTATACGTATAGAATAGTATATCTTTCGAATTTTTCTCTTCATGCGCGTATTATTTATATATTTTTATTATACTTTAGGAAAGAAAAGTTATCTTGATAACGTGGGATAAAAACTTATATATGTTATTTTATACTGAATAATTCATAAGAGAGTAAAAGTTTCAAACGAATGAATGAAAAAGTTTTACCCTCGATAACATCTTTTACTTGAAGAGTAGGGTGGAATCAGGGATATATGTTCGAAAGCATCGTTTTAGTTGCAAGTTAGATAAAAAAAAATGAATCTTTTGGATATAAAAAAATTATAACAGCAAATTAATTCATTTTATATCCGTATTCCATCCAACTTTTCTTAATATGATCATTGATTCTGTTTACTAAAATATGAAATATATAGCATCGTCTGCATAGCTTTAAAAGCACGAGGCACTGAGATAACATTTAGGCAATTGACTTTCTTGAACAAATAGACAAAACTAACTTAACTAATTTATATCCAAGATTTGTAATCCTCGGCACCGGCATTCACGTCTATTGCCTTCTTTTTTCTATTTCCATTAAAAAAGAAGAAGGCAATGAACACGAACTTCGATGTACATCAAATCAATGCCTACAATTACAAATTTTGGATAGCACTAATTTACAAAGTGATGATTGTTCATTAAACAAAAGTAAATAAAATCGTTCCGATTTTGTTTTGTGAGAGATGCATCAGAGAGGCTCCCGCATCCTTCGCGACCTCCAGAAGTGCCAGTCGATTTGCCCACAACTAGGCAGACAACGCCATTGACAAAGGGCACTTGATAATGAAGCAGTACTCACCGGCCACTGGAGAATGACTTGTTCCTCGAAGGATGCTTTTGTGCTTGTACACGTGGATCCAAGCGATCAGTCTAGTCGATGCGCGATCACAGACGCGTTTCGCACACGTGTTTCATCAACGTCGCGATAAGAACGCGCTCACTTATCGTGATTATCAAGCTGTGCACTACCACCATCGGGATTATTCAATGTGACGTGAATCGATTCGAATTTTCCGGTTAATAACACCGCGTGATTTCATCTCGTCGACTCACAGCGCGCCGAATGAATTACGTACTCTCCCTCAGATCGTTCATTCATCTTGCAGTGCGGACGACAATGCAGGTACGATGATGGATCGGCGATGGTCAGACCGAGGACGAGCACGTAGGACGATTACGTTGCAGTCGACAGTGGCCTGCGGGATGTAGAACGAGCCCTGCGAAAGATCACGCCTTTCACACAATGCATGTCGGGGCGGTATAAAGATATCGATCGCCACGTCACATCACGTGCCGCCGATCGTTTCGTCGAGAGGCCCGAAGGTCAACGCGACGGTGTGATTCAAAAAGCGAACCGCAAAGCTCTCGCGATGACGTAATTAGGCGAGCTTGGAACTAGAGAATACGATGCGCGCTTTCTCTCGACTCGTTTTATTGCTGGAAGAAATATTTGATATAAATTTATTTATTTTGTAAATAACCACTAATTTTAGTTATTCTAATCGAATTTTGATTGGAACAATACAACTTTTTAATTAGAGTAAGAAAGTTTTTGTGTCACATATCAATAAAATAAATGGTTATTCTTATACCAAATATTTCTCTCAATGATACAAGACACAAATAGTATATAAACTCGTATTAAGCTTTATTTTTGTGATTCATCGAATTACAACCGAAAGCACTCTCTACTGCCCAATGTATCTCTTTCAAGCCGCACCCAGGTTTTAGTATCGTTTCATTTCCTTTTCCCATTTCCCTTCGATCGTCTCGGGCATCATAAAATGTTCAAGTTACACAAATCTTGTCTTCAAAGCGTGAACGAGTTCATTCCTAGCAAGGGTTTATATTCGTAGCTTTAATGAATTGTTAAATCTATTAAAACAAGTTATGTATTTGTGTTTAATTTTAATAAATTTGGCATTTCTCAATGTGTTCGCGTTCCTAATTACGTCTCGCACTTTTCATTAATAAACGTCTTTAAAAGAAACCTTTCGGTATCGAAATCGCGCAAATTAGCAGATCGTTCATGGACGACGAAATATAGCTTGAATATAGCTCTCTTCGGCTTGGAAAGGTCTCTGTAAGGGTGAGTTTATAATGAGTTTCGTCGAAGTCTTAACAAATCGAAGCAATTTCAACCGGACGATCTCGAAATTCCAACAATTTTATTAACAAGCCAAGCGCGACGAACATTTGAGAAGAAACAACACTCCATATTTGTTGCAATTATTTATAGCGCCCGTAAATTTTATCGCGCGGTAACGAGCGGTCGCGAAAATGCGCCGTTTACTTTTATTGCCCACGCCGTGCACGTTCCACGCCCGTGGGCTTCGCGTACATACGTGCGTGCGTCGGTGCGTCTGGTCAAGTCTGGTGCATGTGATACGACACACAACACACGCACGAGTGAACCGACGAACGAATTCGCGCTGGTGAACGGTACGGCTATGAAAGCGTAAGGAACTCGTCGTTCGTATACGACGTACCCGCGTCCGTACTCCGTTCGCCGTCGCTATATCGTCCGCGATCCACCGCCGACCTGTGTATGCCATTGTCAAGAGTGACGAGCGACGACACCGACGCGGACGCCGGGCGAGACAGAGAGCACACCACCTGTTACACGCACCCCGCTATTTACAAGCGACAACGTGCCCCGTGCATCCCCTCGAATATTTACATATTCATTATATTTCACGCGCGCTTTCGAACGCCATAACTGGATTGAGATCGATCGAGACCGATCGCAGGAGAGATCCACGCAGTATTCGCGTTCGTCCATGCTTGCGTCAACGGAATTTTCGCGTTCGCCGTAATTCATTACGATAATTTAAACGCTGCGCCCGCGCGAGCGAGCGAGCGCGCAATTAACGCGAGTCCCCGCAATTGAAATATTTCATTTTGCGTGCGAGCTATATTATTCGCTTTATGGTCCGCGGAGAGCGAGAACCGAGTGCATATGGCTATACATTACAACGGGGCGACTTGGTAATATTACACCGTCGCCGCCGCCGCCACCGCCGCCGTCGCCGCCATCACCACCACCACCACCACCACCACCACCACCACCACCATCACCACCACCATTACCATTGTCGGCCGTAATAGAAAGGCATTGTCATATAAATTCATATTATACGATAACGGTGATACGTCGGTATCAGCTTCCTATTTTAATGCCGTAAGAGCCATTAAAAGCGTCCCGTTCCGTAACGAGTGCTATCCAAATCCGCGCCGAAAATAGACGCCTTTCCTCGCCCGACGTCGTGTAAACGCCGAATGAATCATACGCATGCAATGAGTTCGTGTGAAATTATATCTGGTTACATCGCGCGCTCCATTTGAGAGTGCCATTTTGCAGATATACGTTATGCTTGGTCTCACGTTTTATTAAAGGCATCAAGCAATTTTCATGACCACCTCACATTCATCTCATATTGTATTTCAGATTAGATCTCTCCACAGTATTATCTTATAATTTCTATTTGTCACACCACTTTTGTTGTTGTTTTATTTTCATATCTGCATTTTGGCTCTCAACACTTCCTCTCCCGCTATATATATATATAAAACTTCTGTGTGGAATTGAAAATTGTAAGAAGCTGTCATTTCCTGAACACGAGACCTTTAAAATATTTTGTGAGCTCTCATTCGTATTTACTTTTGTACCCTCTTATTTTTCTACGTTATACATTTGTTCATAAAAGTGTTTATTTTTCTACGTTCTTATTTTTCTGTACTAGATGTTTTATCGGAATAAACTGTTCCGTTATTATTTAAAGCTATTATTAGCTTCTTATAATTTGCCACACTCCGTTTACAAAAGTTTACATGCACACGAATGGTTTTGTACAAATTTACAAACAGTTATTCTTTTCTGACTAACACGAAGCATCGTAAGTCATGAATGAAATGTGTATTCAGATATTATCAGCCTTTTAGCGTTAATAAATTATATATAGAGCATTGTTGAAATTTATCATCTTTCTAAATTTTGAATACGTATAAATAATAAAGTTTTCTGCTTTCTAAAAAGAGTTGTGATAAATTGATCGTGTGATATATCATTTCAACATTTTATTTTTATTGTTCGTTTATTTGTATGTATATGTACATTTAGAAAATGAACAATCATTTTGTGCTGTATTAACGCTAAAAAAGCCAGATTTATTTCAATAGGACATCCCAATATGACTGAAATAAAAATAGGAAAGATTAAAAAGAATGGAAAATAAGAACATAGTAAGTTTTAAATTCTATTAAAATACTAGTTATTAAATTGTAGTAAATAAGGTTGCAATTAAGCCAATAGGGAGGCGAGTTAAGTACCAATTATTTGTTTATCTTCTCCATGGCCTCTTATTGTGAAAAAGATAAACAAGTAAATTGTTACTAGACTTGTCGTTTCTGCATATTTATACAATGAATGACATTTAATTATTAAAATCGATATCGTCATTTTCTGTTTATTTTTTGTGCTGAATTTATATGCATATTTTTTTATGTCTGTGTATTTCATTATGATTCTCCGATCATATTATTGATGAAAAACATGAACTTTTCTGGAGTTATTTAACGAGGAACTTTTTGTGGCATTCAACAGGTCGTGGCAAATTTTTATTACATGTTTCAATGAAATCGAATAAACGACATAATATTAAGGGTAACGAAAATCTTTATTATTTATCATTCGCGAACAGATGAGAAAGTGTTCAGCTTACAAAATGTGTGACACTTATTTCTACTTGAGAGTTTAAATTGTGGCCGACTTGTATAAACGCAAATATATTTTTGTAGATATACATTATTATTCTATGGATTAATTGACTAGATAATTAAAGCGTGCACTGCTATATAAATTGTTCTTACAGTACATCGTTTTCTCTAGAGACAAGTCTAGGAGGCAATTTCTCGGTTTTAACATATAAAGGTACTTGATTCCTTTCATATGACAGCTAACCATACAGACACATGCATTCATATTGCAAGAATACATCGGGGAATACCAGAATTACATCATCAGGTCGTATTCATACGTCACATTTAACGTTAAATCTATTTGATGCTCATCCCACGACGTTACACATCGAATGCGATCTTCGTATTATACATAAAACTTGGAATTGAACGGCAACATTCAGTAATAAACGTGGCGTTAAATGAATACTGTAAATTAAAAAAGATTCAAGTACTATAAAAATAGAAACGATAGGAATAAATATCTAGAGACGAGATTTAACTTATTTATATCTAAAAAAAAATATAATTTAACACGAGAGGCTAACCCTTTCGAATTCTCATACGCACTTGAATCCTTTTAAATTTACAGCGATCAATCGGCAACGCGAGCCAATCATCATTGCGTATGAAGAAATATCAAATCGACGTCGGACAATAACACCATCAACGTGCATACATCGATCATCTCAAATAGCAAATATACAACAGTAAATTGCGTGCAAGCGTGTGACGAGTAGGATTATGCAGAACATCGAACAAGACTAGTCGCAACAAGTATGGGTGAGCGAGCGAGCGAGCGAGCGAGCGAGCCACGCTGAGCCGAGACGGGACGGGAGCAACGTGTCAGCTTGACATACCCTCGGCCTCGTCTCGGAACTCTCAGGGTTGCTGTTACGCCGCCGACGCCGTTGATCACCGTCGCGGAAAGTCCGTGAGGCGCGCTCGCAGCGACACGCACCGCGGGACGTGGCATGGCACCGCGCATTATACGTATATCACGTAATTCAAAAGAAATCAAATGATCATTCGGTTTACCGTCGTCGTTCAGAACAACCCTCGCGGACGT